AAACTCATAAACTGGTTAAATTTTACAATTAAATTAATAAATTATCCATAATATATAATAAATAAAAAGTAAATCTATTGAAAAAAATTGAAGGAATAAATAAATAAAAGTAAACCATACATATTCACTATATTAAATCTGTAAAAAAACGAAATTTTTCTTCTTCCCTACAAAAATTAAATTAACCCTAAAATGAATAGGATAATAAATTTGAAGAACTAACTAAATATATTAAAAGTACAAAAGTAATGATATTAATGATTGATCCCAAACGTAAATGCTTGTGAATATTACTTATATTATTAAAATAATTATTCACTAATAAACAATTTGATAATTATATAAATTTAAGAATTAAGGTTTATAAAAGTATTATAAATTACATAATTTAATTTATTTACTTTAGAAGTATGGCTCTATATTTGATGAACTTGGTGAAAAGCTTATAAATTGCCTTTTTGGACAAACTTAGACTGGTATTTTTAAAACCATCTTAACCACATCATGAAAAATGATAGTTATAAAAAGTATTATTCTATTTGATCATGATTATCTTTATCTGTTTAATCTAAAGTAGATTGCTTTGCCATTTAGAAAATTAATAAATTGCATCAGGAGATATACAGACATACAAAATTCGATTAGTATTACCATCTAATTAGGCTTTTTATTATCCTGTTTTGACATCCCATACATAGATAGAGTTATCATCACTACCAGAATCTAATGTATTTCCGTCATGTGAGAAACAGACTGAGTAAACAAAACTAGTATGAATATTTAATTTACTTGATCCTTAAATTCTTAAGTTGTTACATTTACAATTAAACAATAATACTCCATTAAGATTTGTTCCACTTATGTTGTCAGTATTAAATTAAGACTCACTAAAATTACACCTAACAAAATTAGCTCTTACGAAAGAAACATTTTATATCTTAATGTTTTAATATTGTTATTACTAAATTCGACCTTCATCTAAACTAATCTAAGGTATGTAGTGAATTAGATCCACATTATATCAAAGTGTTATCCATAGATGTAAGGTAAACTAAAAATTACAGAAATTCTATGATCCTTCTCTTATCCTGGATTCTATTAATGAGATCTTTTATCTATTCTTAATTTTCTTCACTAGAATAATCTAACTTATTGAAACTCCAAATGTTTTTGATTTACATTATAAGAAAGATATCTCTATAAATTTCTCCTTTCTAAATATTTCGACTATGACACAAAAGATTTTTGTATCTACATTTTATACTAAATCAAAGATGTCAGCTAGAACTTCCTTCTCTTAAAAGGGCGATGCATATTCTTTATTATTTTTAATAGTGAATTTCTATCAATCTAACTTTAAGTTTTATACTGCAAAATCAATAAAAGTATCTTGTGCATTTCTGTAAAATAGAAGTTAGGACTTTGTGTAGATTTGGAATTGATTGTAATAGATGTAAACTATGCTATTTGGATATTATATTACTAATGTTTATGAAAATTAGTGTTAGAAAAACCGAAATATACAGTAAATTAAAATAAATTAGAATTTTATCATGAACATTGCTCAATATGCGAGAAAATTAACCTAATATTTTATAAATTTAAACTGTGTATTAGATATAGAATCATTTTAGAGAAAATGAAATGAATGGAAGCATATCAAAAATTTGAATTGAAATAGTGATTGGTAAATCAAAATCGCCTCCAACACCCAATAACGTTTCCAAAAAGTTCTTAAGCCAAAATCCCTAATCAATTAGCAAATATAAAGGAAAATATATTATGAATAATATTTAATTTGATTCTTTTTTATATTCCCCAATAACATTCCTACTCATAAATGCCTTGATATTTTCAACATTCTTTTCATTTAATGGGGAAGCAGAGAATTTTGGTCTACCAGGAGTCATAAGTAACAGCTCCATATATAATTATTCAATAGGACCCATTATTTAGCATGCCTATATTAAATCTAAATTATTTTTTTTATTATTATTATTAGGCATTTTATTCTGAAACATTAACTTTTTCCAAATATGAAAGTATCAATAAATAATTTAATTGCACTGTGCATTCTTCAAAATCTTTTCCATAAATTGTAATTATGGAGAATATGGTATCCTGAAATTGAAATTGATAGTAAAGGATAAATTGAGGAATACTTATTAAAATTATAACTAAGATGAATCATAGTAAAATCTTATTAATACATTCGATTCTTAATAAAAGAAAATGCAGAAAAATTTTCTCCTAATTTGAAAACAAAGTTTGAAAAAATTAATAAATTTTTAGAGGTCAATATTCTATCAGTTTCTGTATCTAAATAACAATTGTTAAATGTAGTATATCTATAATTTTTTTAGATGATCATAAATAAGGTCATTTTGGTAATTTTCCAAACATTTTAAGAATTATTTTACACTTTTTTCTTTAGTCATAAATAATTCAATACTTTGGTGAAATAATTTTGTTATATTAATTTAAAATTTTCTTTTTCTAAACTTTAGTTGAGATATTTTTTAAATCCAAAAAGTGATTAAATCAAGGTATGGCAATATTATGAATTTATTTAGAATTTATATTGCAAATTATTCTAAATTAAAAATACATATATTTCTTTAAATAAGTAAAGGGATTGATTTTCTTTTAATTTAATGTTTTAATAACCTTAAAATAAAATTGCAAAAGTACTGTTTAACCTTTAATTTTTATTTTTTAGATTTAAGGTGATGGCAAAATACAATTAATTTTTAACCTTTCACTCTTTTTTCTCTCATTAAAATCAAACTCAAGTCAATAAGTATCATATTTATCCAGACTTCTTATTTTAGAACAATTCGAACAAAACTCTTGTGAAGATTGCTCGGTTTTCTATTTTTTTTAATGATAAAATTAGATAAATATAGTATAAAAAGAAAGAGTCTTTATTTTAATTTTAATAATTCTTAAGAGAAATATGTCAGGGGGTAAATATGCTTCCTAAGTATTTACATTTTCATTTTGAAAAATGATTGCTTTAGGAATTTACCAAATAGTATAATTCAAACAGTGAAATTGAGACTAATATTTTCAAACGTCAGAGAGGGAATTAAAGAATTCAATTTTACCCTAGTGACCATAAAATTTATGTGATTAATATGAAAATGACAAATGATTCAGAATTAAAGATTTTCATTATTGATAAAAAAATAAATGCATTTAAATTAAAAGACAAAACACAATCATTTAAACATTAGTTTGAGTTTATGATAATTATACATATATAATAAAATATGATTATGATGTTAATCAGATTAGTACTTATCAAAGAAGTATTAGGTTGGAGAGAGTACCAAAAGTGGTATAATATTTTTGGGATAGATCAAAATTTATGTCCTGATTTACATACACATATACCTGATATGCATCCACATTAATGTGTATGTAAGTATTTGTGTCATTCATAGCTTATGCATTGATTTGCTATGGCGTTACAGATATTGTCGTCAGAATTGAAGTCAATGGAACTCAACATTTATGCCATCCTAGATTCTAGCCATGGGGAGCAGGGACTCCAACTAAAGACCAATATTCAATTCATTGTGGATATGAAATAGGCGCTTCCTTGGTGATGGAGTTATTATCAGATGGACACTATAAATATTATTGCAGATGTACGTATTGTTGATTTAATATTTAGATTTTACAGATGATTAGAATAAAAGATGCCTGATTGGCACCTTACAGCAAGGCATATTTAGATGTCAATTTTGTAAATTTCCATACTTTGGAGCGGGATTTGGTTGTAGCTAAGTGTAAATTGGTTATGATTAAAGATTTACAAATCCGCCTAGAAGTAATTAAGTTCAATTATGCAAGGTTGTCATGGAGATTGTCTGGAATGTGATGAAGCTAAAGTATGTTCTCAATGTAGATTTGGTAGTGTTAAAGTTTAGCAGATTGATAACTCTTGCAATCTATGTAATTTTTAATATCATAAATGATAGATTGTAGAGGCTTTACAAGTTGTTATTTTGATTCAAATACTTAGGTTGTTTATAGTGGTTCTTGCAATATAGGATTTTACATGGATTAGTAATCTTGTGTGAGTAACTTTATTAACTCAAGCATTTTAGATGTTTCTCCTTGTTTATAGGTCAGTCCTTCACCGACATATTTATACACTTGTGATAGTTGCATCTAAGGTTATAGTAGGATACAAGTATATGAGGGTGTAAATGATTTTTATCTTTGTAAAAAAATGGATTGGAATTGTGACATGTCAAGATAATCAATGATTCTTGACACCCTTTCTTCAGTCTCATAATTGATATATTATACAACATGTACTTTATGTGATCCAGGATACTTTTATTTTAAGCCACTGAAAAATTGTTAATGTATTAAAAAATAATATTGTTTAGTGGTTAAATAATATTTTAAAAATCCTAATTGTATCTTATTAGACACAACAGAAACTTATTGCTTAGCTTGTTAATCATGGTTTGCATTACAATCAGATGGCACATGTAAATAGACTTATTGTGATTCAAAATGTTTGACTTGTCTGGATACCAATCCAAGTTATTGTACAACTTGTGATAGTACTGGAAATAAAATAGCTGATAATGGTATCTGCAAATGCCAAACAAATAACGGATTGTATGAAGAAAACTGCATACCTTGTATCGATATTTATTGTTTTGATTGTCAACAGGATTTCTTAGTGTGTATTTCATGTAAACCAGGATCAAATAGAATAATAGTGAATGATGAATGCATATGTTAACCTGGTACATATGACCCTAAATAAGATGATTAGATATGTTTAGGTAATTTATTAAATTATATATAAGCCTGTGACTTATCTTGTTTAACATGTTTTGGTCCTTCAAATTTAGAATGTACTAATTGTGAAGAGGAAAATATTGCAAACAGAATTCAAATTAGCACTTTATGTCCATGTAAAATTGGATATGGTGAAAAAGCAAATAAGGATTCAAAATGTGAAAGTATTAATTGATGATAATTTTAGAATGTCATCCAAGATGTCTTACATGTTTCTAAGCAGCTGACGAAACTGAATAATAGTATTGTCTATCATGTATACCTGGACAGAATCGTGTTGTTTCAGACACTTTTAGATGCGATTGTATACCAAATTATGGTGATTTTGGTGGCACTTCAGATATTTGTGGAAGTACTTTCAAAATTAATACATAGTTTGTGATTACACATGTGGAACATGCAATAATATTGGACCAACAAATTGTACTTAATGCTTAGAAATTTCTTTTAGAGAATTGACAACTTCAGGAGAATGCTTATGTAAATAACAATATTATGATGATAATACAGATAATATAGTTTGTATGAGTAATAGATTAGATGTTATTTATAGGATGTCATCATTCATGTGAATTATGTGCAAACAGTCCTGAAAAAGATGCTTGTATTCAATGTCCTTCTACTAGAACATCAAATGAACCAGGTAGTTAATTTGAATGCTTTTGTACACTTTCTAATACTTTTGATGACGGATTTTCACTTGAATGCCAATAATGTGATAAATCTTGTTCAACATGTTATGGTCCTCTTTCAACAAATTGTCTAACATGTGATGCTAATTATAGATAAAAGGAATTATCATCATGTGTCTGTCCAAAAGGATATTATGATATAGGAGAATTAGAATGTGCAAGTAATTATAATAAAAAAATGAATAGAATGTCACTATTCTTGTAGCTAATGTTTCGATAACACTGCAGAAAATTGCATTGCCTGTTTTTTTGAACTTAATCATAGAATATTAAAAGGTAATATTTGCAAATGTGCTGATGGATATTATGAGGAACTTGAAATAGCTTAGTGTAAAAGTAATTAGTCTAATTTTTTATGTGTCTTAGTATGTTCATATACATGTGAGACATGTGAAATTTAACCATAGAAATGCTTGAGTTGTCCATTAAATTCCTTGCGCATTCTTGACCTCAATAAAGGTTGTGTTTGTCCAGAAGAGTACTTTGATAAAGAAAATTAGATAACTTGTTAAAGTAATTTAAATATCAATTAGAGAATGTCATTTCAAATGTAAAACCTGTACTGGTTAGGATTAAAATTAATGTCTCTCTTGTGATCCTATTTCAAACAGAATACTCTAAATTAGTTCATGTTTATGTTAACCTCATTACTTTGAAACGGAGGTTTAAGAATGCTCAAGTATCCTTTTAATCTAAAATTAGCTTGCAGTGCATTTTGTTATCAATGCATTAATAATTTTGAAAATTGTACTTCATGCAATTAAGATAGATATTTGGTTGGAAGTAGATGCAAATGTATAACAAAATTTTAAGGAGCAACAATCAGTACATATGATTTTAATGGAATGATTAAATGTGAAAGTATTTGATTAAATAATCATTAGAATGTCATCATTCATGTGGAACTTGTATAGGAATATATGAAACTGATTGTATTTCCTGCATTGATACAGATCACAGATTTCAAGTGGGAAATACATGTGTTTGTAAAGAAGGGTACTTCGATGCTGGATTGCCAGTTTGTGAAAGTAAGAATCAGGTCTATATTATAGAATGCAGTTATAAATGTAAAGGATGCTAAAATTAATCTGAGAATTGTACTTCTTGTTAAGATAACAGTTTAAGATAATTTGTTTCAGGTTTTAAAAAGTGCCAATGTATTAATAAGTATTATGATGATGGTTAGAATGAAATTTGTTAAAGTATTTGTTATTTCTAATGAATTAGAATGTCATTATTCATGCTAAAGATGTATTGATATTCAAACTAAATGTGAAATATGCTCCCTTGAATCAAATAGAATTTATAATGATCAACTTTTTACTTGTGATTGTGATATTGGATATTATGACAATGGATCTGAAATATGTGAAAAATGTCATTATTCATGCTTAAGTTGTACTTCTGGAGATTTTCATTCCTGCCTTACTTGTATAGATTCTAAGATTTCAAAAAGAGTGTTTCATAATAAGATATGTAAGTGTTTATTTGGATATTTCGATGATGGTCAATCAATATCATGCAAGAAATGTGATACTTCATGTTTAAGTTGTGTTGAATAGTCCTTTTAATGTTTATCATGTCCTTTAACAAGAAAAATAGAACAAAATTGTAAATGTGAGCAGGGTTATTATGATGTTGGTCAATAACTTTGTTTAAAATGTAATTCAAATTGTCAAACTTGTTAAATCACATCAAATTAATGCACTTCATGTGATTCTGATTAATTTAGAGAAATTAACTTAATAACAAGAACATGTGATTGCCAAAAAGGTTTTCATGAATTTAATGGAATCTGTTTCTAATGCCATTCAAGTTGCAAGACCTGCTCTGAATCTATATATAAATGCACTTCTTGTATGTAATTTAGAAATCTGAAGAATAATGATTGTATTTGTAATGATGGGATGTATGAATCAAGTATTGATAAATAATGTAAATTATGCGATAAAACTTGTTTAACTTGTGCTTATATTAAAACTTATTGTTTAACATGCTCAATTGATAATTTTAGACAATTTAAATCTGGAAATTCATGTGAATGTATAAAAGGATATTTTGAAAATCCAATTAATCAGAATTGTGAGTAATGTGAAATTTCCTGTTTGACTTGTTCTTAATCATACGATAATTGCTTGACTTGTGATAATAGTCTTAATTTGTCATCGATCAATAATAAATGTTTATGCTAATCATCTTATTTTTTTGATCCTTTGACTAATTCATGTCAATGTAATAATCTATATATATTTTAGAATGCAATATTAATTGTTTGGAATGCTAAAAAAGAAATGAATGTACTTCTTGTAGATTGACCACCAGACATTTAGACATAGATTAAAAGAATTGTCTATGTAATGATGGATATTTTGAAACAAATTAATAAAGTTGTTCATGTATTCAATATTCAAATTTCTTTAGAATGTCATTCTTCATGTGATACTTGTAAAAATGTTAATACTCATTGTTTAACATGCAAAAGTGATTCCAAAAGAATATTAACAAATAATCAATGTATATGTCTAGACGGTTATTACGACACAGGCATCGAATTATGTTAAAAATGCAATAACCTTTGTAAAACTTGTTAATTTTCTGCTTCCTTTTGTTTATCCTGCTATAACATTGAACAGAATAGATATTTATAAGGAAATAAATGTGTATGCAAGCCTGGCTATTTTGAATAGAATAGAGATATATGCTAAAGTAATAAAATTTTAATGATAAATAGAATGCTCGAAAGAATGTTTAACATGTTCAGGTTCTGCAGATTATTGTACAAGTTGTGATATAAATTCTAAACGAGTTGATTAATCAATTATCCATAAATGTCCTTGTATGACTGGATTTTATCAAGATTAGGATTAGATTTGCTAAAGTAAATCAAGATTAAATATTAATAGAATGTCATATTAAATGTTAAACCTGTTTAAACTAAAGTAACTAATGTTTAAGTTGCAATTTTTAATTAAATTCAAATAGAAAGTCTTTATCTGATTAATGTAATTGTAAAGATGGCTATTATGATGATGGAACATAACTCCAGTGTTAATTATGTAGTTTTCAATGTAAAACCTGTTAAATTAAAGCAAATAATTGTCAAATTTGCTAGAATTCATTACGGATTAATCCACCAAAATGTAATTGTTCTGATGGATATTATGAAGATGAGTAACTCATATGTTAAAGTAAATTTTATTTCTAATTTAGTTTGTGCATCTAAATGCAATACATGCATATTGGTACCCTCAAATTGTTTGACTTGTAAACCAGGAAGATTTGATCAAGATTGCAAATGTTTACCTGGATATTTCGAAATTGGGTAAGAACAATGCTAATGTATTATATTTAGTTTATATAGAATGTTAATTTTAATGTGCCACTTGTGATTTAAATTCATTAAATTGCAAGACTTGTAAAGGTGATAGATTTTAGGAACCATAATGCATTTGCTAATCTGGATATTTTGATGATCATATAAATGAAAATTGTTAAAAATGTGATAATACCTGTTTAGAGTGTAATATCAACGGTTGTTTATCTTGCAATGCAAATAGAATATTAAATGAAGAAATGAATTGTATACCTCCACCAAACTCAATTTGGTATGATAATACTCCTTGGTGTTCAAGTAAATTATTCCAAGATATTCTAGCTTGTCAAGTTGCAGTTGTTAATGCATATTTATCTGACGATATCAGTAAGATTATAATCCATTTTGATTTTCCTTTAAATCCTAAAAATTTCAATTAATACTTCGAAATTAATAAATGTCTGTAAATATTTGAATTAGAATCTTCATAAAGTTTTGGTTAAAATTCTGTTTGCTATCTTAATCCAGAAAATGAATAGGAATTATTAATTTTACTCGGAGAATACTCGACAATCAATATTGGTGACGTAATTCTATTCAAAAGTAATTCCTTAACTCATATGAATTGTTAAGTATCCTTACAAAAATTTATCTTTACAAAATTATAATATCCAATTAATCCCCTTCCTCCTTAAATTGAATATCTTGTACCTTTGCATTAACTCAATCCTTTTGCAGATAATTCAATTTATTTAAAATCAATAAAAAACAATGGGAATAGAAAGTTATTTTATATTATTTGGAGTTGTTAAGTGCAGTCAAAGGAAAATAGTTCTGTGCTAAATAAATTCTTAGATGATATTAATAAACTTCAAGAATGTAATTTATTGATACCAAAATTTACATTACCTGGTGATGCATTGATAAAATTTAAGATTAAATATTACAATTTCATTAATATTTATTCTTAATCAGAATTTGTTATTAACACTCATGCAGGAGATCTTCCATAAATTGATATAAATGTAAAACTCTCCTATTTTGTTTTCGAAACAATTAAAATTGGTGTTTCTGTTGGCAATTTAGATTAATCAATCTAAAAAAACACAACTAAATATTAGATTTAAATTAATGAAATAGATAGATATCCTAATAAATCAACTTCTTCACAATTAAATTCTTTAATAGAATCTAATTACTTTGAATTGATTTATTTTACTATTTCAAAATATATTTTAAGTCCAAATTCAACCTATACATATTAAGTTATAGCAACTAATTTAGATACAAAAAAATCATAATAATAAAATTTTACTTTTGATATTAAAATAGCTGGATTAATTTGTTAATTTAATAATATTGGATATTAAAATATAAGAAGAGATTTAAATCTCTAAATATTCTGCGAAGATTTAGACACAACTTATAAATAGAATAGTGATCCAGATTTGTTTATTTAAGTAGTTTGTAAGGATCTAACGTTGAATAAAATATGCTAAAATTAACAAAAGCAAATAATTAATGTTAATTAAAGTGATACATATTAATTTATTAGAAAGAATTCTATTTCCTCTTTTACAGTTTAAGAATGGACAGTAACTGCTACAAAATTTAAATAAAAAACTAAATTTTCTTTAATTATTGTTTATCTTGAAAATGATTTTCCTTCATTATAACTAGAATTCAATAAAGGTTATTTGATGAGATAAATTAATAATTACGAATAATTAAATTTTACATTTATAATTCCTTTTATTAATAAATATAACCTATTAGATCTATCAATTGCAATTATTTATAACTATGAGATTATAGAAATACTGCAACCAAAATATATTTCATATTAATTTCAAATATTTAATAAAATTAAAGAATTCAATTTTGGAGATGATATCAAACTTAAATTTTCAGCTTAGTATACTAATAATATCATGCCAAGCATATAAAATATAAAACTAACTATTAATTAGCCACCTTTATGTTCTAAATTACGCATTACTCCTTCTAGTGACTTAGCACTTACAAATATTTCAATAGCAGCAGCATGTTAGTAATTATAAGATTTTCCTTATAAATATTAACTTAGGTTATTTTTGAGAGAATTAGATTTAATTGAATTTTTACAAGGATCATCAGATAATTCTTTAGTTCTCTATCCATTTCAAACTTAAAATTAATTCTTAATTTAAACTCCTTCTTCTGTTGACTCATCAAAAATTGGAATTTTAGTAGAAGTTCTTGATAGTGGAGGATCAATCACTAATATTTATGATATGATTAATGTGAGACCTGCAAATATAAATTGTTCCGCAATTTAATATTAGAATATGAATTTATAAAGCAAGATTTTATTGCTTATAGAAACAATGAATCATAAATGTAATGAGGTGAATTAATAAATTTATATTGATTTGCTTTAATAATAAATTCTGCCAGATTGGAATGATAATGTCCTGAAGTAATAGGCTCTAAAAATATATATCTAATTTAAAATTGCATATGGATAAAAGAAACCTTATAATCGATTATTATAGAAAGAAATTAACAATAAATGTATAGATCTAAACTCAAATCATTTATTTATTACATAAAATGTTACTGAACATGGAGAAAATTTGACAAAAATTATAGAAGATTTCAAAGGTAATACTCATAAATTAAATATGGTTCTAAAATATTTAATTAAAATGAAAAAATAATCTTAGCAAGAGCTTTATCTAAATTAATACATATGGAATGAAGAAATATTTGAATAGTATTAAAACTCATAAGATGGCTTAAGAAGTTTATTATACTATCTTGATTATATCTATTCTAATATTTCATCAATAAACACAAAAAATGAAACTATTTATTAAAATATTGTTGATTTATTGAAATTTATTACTCTAATTGTAGAGGAGATATAAAATACAATTTTTGTTAATGAAAAACCTTATGTTCTAGAGGGAAATGAGATTATTTGGTAAATAAAAAGAAGAACAAAATAAATATTCAATCAATAATTTAATATTGAAAAAACAAAAGAAGATTACCTCACAGACTTTGTTTAATAGGAATCTACATATTTAAAAACCAATCCTTTAAGATTTTCTTCAGATCTTGTAAATATACTCTAAACTTAATTTAATGATTAAACATTACAAATTTACTCAGAATATTACTACTAAATTTTATTGAAAAACTCTTATAAACTTAAATTTGTATCTTCTGAAAACATTTCATCTGATTATAGTACATAATTTGGATCCTATTAAATTTGCTCAAATACTGAAAATTACTTATAAGAATACAAAATATAGTGTATAATTAGATCAATAACTGGAAAATTTTATTAATGCAATTTGAATAGATTAATAAAGAATGATACTATAGAGTTATCTTGTGAATGTAATAGGTTTGGTGAAATTTTTCTAGTAATTTCTGCAAATACTAGTGCTGTCATTTCAAACAATAATCATTTCTCAATATAGGATCTTGCTACTAGCTCAATTTTTGAATATTTATTAGCACTCCAAATTGGTACTATTTCTTTGTCATCAATATTTATGATGATTTATATATATTAATTATTAAAAGATTAAAAAAATAAGCAAGAAAGGTTGAATACTGAATAAAATTGCTTGAGTCCAAAAACCAAATTAAATAAACGTATTATTATATATAAAGGTAGTTTAAGAGTTTTTAAGGAATAGTTTAAGGTAATATTAAATTATTATTTTAGTAAGTACATTAAATTATATCAATTTTTAATTATAGAGATCCAAATATTTAATTTAGTTATAGGATTTTAGAAGTACTCTCCTAATTCAATTTATTATTAACTTTATCAATCCTTGAATGCTATTTTTTAAATAACTCAATATCTTAAATTTGTGGATTCATTTTTTTAAACCCTTTAACAATCTTTATATTAAGAATTATTTATAAGATAATCAAAGCAATATACAGATTCTAACGAATTGCTGCTGTTATTAGTTAGCTACTTCTTATCTTATTTTTAATGACCCCTAATCTAATTATATATATATTTTACACAATAAAGTATTTATTATACTATTTTAGAATTACGATGAAATCAGAATAATATATAGTAGCAATTATATTTTTAGGAAGTGTCATAGTATCACAATTAGTTATAGAGCCACTTATAATAATTGGAAGAATAATTATTTATAGATTAATAGCTAAAAGTCTTAACAACATGGAACTAAATCCTTATTATCATTTAATTAATTTTTTTATAATGCACAGCAGTTTAGAAGCAATATTTGAAGATTTCACTAGGATTTGATATTATAATTATATAAAGATTTTAATATTCAATATTGAAATTCTATTATATATTTTATTAAATTATATATATATTCTATTTATAAGTAATGATAACAATTAATTTAATTTTTGTAAATACTCAAACTTATCTATTAAAATTTTTATATGTTATCAAAATTATATAATCAAAATGTTTTAATATTTTTTGAACAATATTTATGTTATTTAATGGACTTTTAAATTACATTAGTCAGTTTTAAATATATAAACAATTCTTCATATCATTTTTATTTAATTGTCTTATCTCCAAATCACATTCAAAGCTTATAAATTTATAGTAAGAATTTTGTAAATTTAGTTAAAACTATTAGTAATTGAGAATTTTATATATTAAAAAATGTTTAAATTAAATAGCCAAGTATCATTATTTTGTTGTTAATAATAAAAAAAATAATTATAGATTAATTTACACATTTGCAGATTTCTATCTTTTCAATTGATGGTGAGTTAATCCTTTCATTTTAATTTATTTAAGAGATACTTTATATTAGAACATCTTTACTAAATATTTTTTTAAAGATAAAATAGTAAATTATCAATAATTATAATAAATAATATACTAATTAATGAATATTTTAAAAGGTATTTTGAAATAGTATTATATTTTGAAGGTTGTGGTGATACATATTCTCAATCTATTAGTTTGATGAAACAATTTTTTGAAGATTCTAAACAAAGTATAGTAATTACATCATATCTTAGGGAAGTCTTTAAATAATGATCATTTATAAAGGGAACCACTAGATTTCTATGATAAAATACATGAAATGTATAAATAAACTATTTTTTCTTATACTTGTAAAGGTTGATACAACATAATAATTAAAATTAGGAATATCACNATAGAGATCCAAATATTTAATTTAGTTATAGGATTTTAGAAGTACTCTCCTAATTCAATTTATTATTAACTTTATCAATCCTTGAATGCTATTTTTTAAATAACTCAATATCTTAAATTTGTGGATTCATTTTTTTAAACCCTTTAACAATCTTTATATTAAGAATTATTTATAAGATAATCAAAGCAATATACAGATTCTAACGAATTGCTGCTGTTATTAGTTAGCTACTTCTTATCTTATTTTTAATGACCCCTAATCTAATTATATATATATTTTACACAATAAAGTATTTATTATACTATTTTAGAATTACGATGAAATCAGAATAATATATAGTAGCAATTATATTTTTAGGAAGTGTCATAGTATCACAATTAGTTATAGAGCCACTTATAATAATTGGAAGAATAATTATTTATAGATTAATAGCTAAAAGTCTTAACAACATGGAACTAAATCCTTATTATCATTTAATTAATTTTTTTATAATGCACAGCAGTTTAGAAGCAATATTTGAAGATTTCACTAGGATTTGATATTATAATTATATAAAGATTTTAATATTCAATATTGAAATTCTATTATATATTTTATTAAATTATATATATATTCTATTTATAAGTAATGATAACAATTAATTTAATTTTTGTAAATACTCAAACTTATCTATTAAAATTTTTATATGTTATCAAAATTATATAATCAAAATGTTTTAATATTTTTTGAACAATATTTATGTTATTTAATGGACTTTTAAATTACATTAGTCAGTTTTAAATATATAAACAATTCTTCATATCATTTTTATTTAATTGTCTTATCTCCAAATCACATTCAAAGCTTATAAATTTATAGTAAGAATTTTGTAAATTTAGTTAAAACTATTAGTAATTGAGAATTTTATATATTAAAAAATGTTTAAATTAAATAGCCAAGTATCATTATTTTGTTGTTAATAATAAAAAAAATAATTATAGATTAATTTACACATTTGCAGATTTCTATCTTTTCAATTGATGGTGAGTTAATCCTTTCATTTTAATTTATTTAAGAGATACTTTATATTAGAACATCTTTACTAAATATTTTTTTAAAGATAAAATAGTAAATTATCAATAATTATAATAAATAATATACTAATTAATGAATATTTTAAAAGGTATTTTGAAATAGTATTATATTTTGAAGGTTGTGGTGATACATATTCTCAATCTATTAGTTTGATGAAACAATTTTTTGAAGATTCTAAACAAAGTATAGTAATTACATCATATCTTAGGGAAGTCTTTAAATAATGATCATTTATAAAGGGAACCACTAGATTTCTATGATAAAATACATGAAATGTATAAATAAACTATTTTTTCTTATACTTGTAAAGGTTGATACAACATAATAATTAAAATTAGGAATATCACTAGATTATTTATAAAAATACAAAGATGCCATTACTTGTTATGATCAAGCTCTTAAATTGAATCCTCTCAATCAGGAATCATTTAAAAATAAAGGTATCCCTATTATCAATGTATAATTAGGGATTTCTTTATCTTAACTTGGATTCCATGAAAAATCTCTTTATTTTTATAATTAATCTATATCGCTGAATCAGTAAGACACAGAGGCATACTATCGAAAAGGTATAAGAATTATTAATTCAAGGAATTTCATTACATTCTTTAAATAGATATGAAGAAGCTCTAGAATCTTATGATTAGGCTCTAAAATTGTCCTCTTAATTTGCTTAAAAAAACGAAGGTACTAAAACATTACTCATTTTTAGGAAATATTTAGTTTTCAAACTCAGATAAGAATAAAAATAAATATGAAAATCTCATTTCATCTTATAATGAATTCCTTTTATAAAATCCAAAACATTTCTAAACATATATTAATAAAGGTATAATATCATCCTAATTTTGAGGAATATTATTAAACTAATTAGAGAGATATGAGGAGGCTTTGATATGCTTTAATTAAGCTATCCATATAAATTCAAAGAGCTTTGAAGCATTAAATGGCAAAGGTAGTATAATAAAAATATTCTATTAGGAGTTTCATTACATCATTTAAAAAGATATTAATAAGCTATTGATTGCTTTGATAAAGCTCTAAAATTGAATGCTGAAGAGATGAAGCTATTTGTTAATAAAGGTAAATAAGGCAATTTATAGTTAAATTTATTTTAGGAATTAGCTTAACTCAATAAAATAGGTATTAAGAAGCAATAACTTGCTATGATAAAGCTATCATGTTAAGTAGTAACTTCCTTAACTTTTTTATTTAAAAAGGTATTACATTTATTGTATTTTAATAAGGAATTCAATTAAAAGACATAATACTTTATAGAAATGCAATAGAAAATATCAAAGCTGAATGTAATAGCTTTGTTGAATCTTTTAGAATTCCAGGATAAATAAGAATAATTAAATTTAACATTAACATAGTCTGATTAGTAGGTTAATACTTTTAAATAAATTGATAAGATATATATTAATAAAGGTAATAATTATTTGTTTAATTAGGGCTAACATTAAATTAATTAGAACACTATGAAGAGGCTATATATTGTTATGATTAGGCGTTAAAAATAAATGCTATTGATTCCAATTCTTATATTTAAAAAGGTATACTAATAAAAATCATAAGGAATTACTTTATGTTACTTAAAACGATTTGAAGAGGCAATTGCTTGCTACGATTAAGCTACAAAATTAGATTAAAAAAATAAATAGTGTTATCTAAACAAAGGTATACATCTAAATTACTACAAATTTTAAGGAATGGCATTAAATTAGTTAGATTAATACTAAGAGGCTATTGTTTGTTTTAATCAAGCAATCAAATTAGACCCATAAGATTTTTAGATATTTCATTACAAAGTTATATTTAGGTATTAAATTAGGTGTATCATTACAATACTTAGAGGAATATAATAATGCTTTGATTAGTTATGATTAAGCACTTAAACTTAATCCAAAACATATAGATTCATATATAAATAAAGGTAAGAATCAAATTTTATTAATTAGGAATTACTTTAAACATGCTAAAACGATATGCTGAAGCTGTCAAATAATATAATTATGCCATTGAATTGAACAAACAAAATGCAGATGCTTATAATAGGAAAGGTATTGAAGAATGGTTTTAATAATATTATTAGGGTTTTCATTATATTAATTAAAGAAATATGAAGAAGCCAGAAATGCTTATGATCTTGCCCTTAAATATAGCCCATAGGATACATAAATATATATTAATAAAGGTAGTTAATAATTTTTTATTTAGGAATTACTTTAATGTAATTACAGTAAAACTAAGAAGCTATAAATTAATTTGATTAAGCTATTTTATTGAATCCAAATGAAGAAGATGCGTATAGTTGGAAAGGTTAATATTGAAATAATATTAGGATTCACACTAGAAAAATAACACATGTATTAGAAAGCAATCTAAACATTCAGATATGCTTAATGTTTATTTGAAAATTAGGGTAATTAATATGAAGGAAATATTTTGGTATGGAAATAATACCGTTGATATAATTAAAAATTATATAATAGTAGATAATATAAATATATTTTTATTTATATATATACTAAAATAAAACCTTTATAATATTCTACTACTTTGAAGCTAATCATCCATTACCTGACAATTTAATTGATTATTTATATTCTATCTATTTCAAAGAGCTGTTCTTAATTATTCTTGCAATAGATTTAATTAAAAATAATACTAAAATAATTTAAAACAAAAAATTTATAATCAATCTAATAAATTCAGCAAATAATGCAATAGTTGAATTCTTAGAAAATAAAGTCTAAAATTATAAGAATAACCAATTCTTCATAGAAAACGAATATATTTATAAATGGATATAATTGATATATGTTAAAGTTTTATTAAAAAAGTATAATAATCATATACATAAAATCAAATGATATATTTTTAATCCTATTTCTTTTTTGATATATTAAGAATTTTAGATTCAGAAATGCAAGAAAAGAAATTGAAATTGAACAACAAAAATATCATTAAATTTCTATATAAATTTAGAATAATAAATGATATTTNTTAGATATTTCATTACAAAGTTATATTTAGGTATTAAATTAGGTGTATCATTACAATACTTAGAGGAATATAATAATGCTTTGATTAGTTATGATTAAGCACTTAAACTTAATCCAAAACATATAGATTCATATATAAATAAAGGTAAGAATCAAATTTTATTAATTAGGAATTACTTTAAACATGCTAAAACGATATGCTGAAGCTGTCAAATAATATAATTATGCCATTGAATTGAACAAACAAAATGCAGATGCTTATAATAGGAAAGGTATTGAAGAATGGTTTTAATAATATTATTAGGGTTTTCATTATATTAATTAAAGAAATATGAAGAAGCCAGAAATGCTTATGATCTTGCCCTTAAATATAGCCCATAGGATACATAAATATATATTAATAAAGGTAGTTAATAATTTTTTATTTAGGAATTACTTTAATGTAATTACAGTAAAACTAAGAAGCTATAAATTAATTTGATTAAGCTATTTTATTGAATCCAAATGAAGAAGATGCGTATAGTTGGAAAGGTTAATATTGAAATAATATTAGGATTCACACTAGAAAAATAACACATGTATTAGAAAGCAATCTAAACATTCAGATATGCTTAATGTTTATTTGAAAATTAGGGTAATTAATATGAAGGAAATATTTTGGTATGGAAATAATACCGTTGATATAATTAAAAATTATATAATAGTAGATAATATAAATATATTTTTATTTATATATATACTAAAATAAAACCTTTATAATATTCTACTACTTTGAAGCTAATCATCCATTACCTGACAATTTAATTGATTATTTATATTCTATCTATTTCAAAGAGCTGTTCTTAATTATTCTTGCAATAGATTTAATTAAAAATAATACTAAAATAATTTAAAACAAAAAATTTATAATCAATCTAATAAATTCAGCAAATAATGCAATAGTTGAATTCTTAGAAAATAAAGTCTAAAATTATAAGAATAACCAATTCTTCATAGAAAACGAATATATTTATAAATGGATATAATTGATATATGTTAAAGTTTTATTAAAAAAGTATAATAATCATATACATAAAATCAAATGATATATTTTTAATCCTATTTCTTTTTTGATATATTAAGAATTTTAGATTCAGAAATGCAAGAAAAGAAATTGAAATTGAACAACAAAAATATCATTAAATTTCTATATAAATTTAGAATAATAAATGATATTTAGTAGACAATTTCTAATACTTCTAATGTAATTGATTATCATTATTATTATTATTGAATAACTTTTAATAAAATTTCTGTAATTTCACTTTAATTGTAATTATATTTTACATTTGATTAAAACTATTTCTCATTGCAATACTTCATAAATTAGCAAACATGGTATCCACATGAATAACCATCAAATTACTAACCAGAAAATTAGGATAACTCTCTTTTACAATCCTTTATTTTTAATAATTTTTCTAGAGTTGAAAGTAACTTGTAATCTACATTCATATTTAAATTAGGCTATTACAAAGAGTCAAAAATGGTACATATTCTCTGTTTTAAATCAAAAAGTAAAAAATACCAATGATAATTATTCTAATTTACAGGCATACCTATATATGAATAGATAAGTTCTAATTCATAATTCAATTCTTAAAATTCAAGTAACTCAGTTTCGAAGAGTAATTTTGAATGTTAATCACTATAATCTATTCCAAAATTAGTAGTTAGAGTAGATGGTAATAATAATATCCTATTTATTTCTTATCGATTTCTTTATTAAATTTTAAAATAAATTCTTTCACTTTCTAAATTTAAATACATAACATAGCCATCAATAATGCTGCTTGTTAATCGTCCTTTATTTTATAAAATTAAAATATCTTTCTTACAAAACTATTAATTATATTTGCACCAACAAGAGAGCAATTAATTTTTATTATTTCTTATTGCATAATTTTTATTTACTTATAAACCAGTTGAAACATCAATTATCACAATTTTTGTATGTGGAGCACTTTTTGACCTTTTATTATTTCCATCATTATAATCTCTAATTGGACTATTTTTTATAGTATTTGATTTGCCTAAATACTCTATTCCGTTTTCACTTAGTACAAATTTTTATTTACTTAAGTTAACCGAAAAAGAGCCTTCTTAAATTTTAAATTTTGGATTCTTATTCTCATCAAAATTAGTTTAATATAACTTTCCATCCATTTTTTTATATTCATTATTTTAATTTTCTTAGTAATCACAACATGATTTATAATAAAACAATAAATTCTCACATAATAATAGTTTCTCATATCGTAATTAAATAGTATTAATACAATCGTAAATTTGATAATTAGAATCTTCTAATAAAAAACTTTCATTTTTATTTTATTCTTAAGATAAATTATTTTTTTCATTAATTTCAGGACTCTTGTTTTTATTTAGAATATAAGAGTTTTTTTAGTTATCATTATTGTTCTAAGCTTTTTTTTGTTAATTATATTAATTGTAATAATTATGTTATTTTTAATCTTATTAGAAATATGTATGACTCTTATTACTAAATAATTTTATGATTATTACGGTGACAATGATTAAATCTTTTAAATTCCTTTATATTCTTTATCCGATTATATACTAGTAGTACTCATCATATTCATAATTATAATTATAAATATCAATATTATTATTAAGAATTTATACTAGTAATAAAATGTTAATTTAATCAGTATAGAAAAAATCTAAATCTGATCAACTTAATATAATTTCACTAGAAGACTGACTTTATTTAGGCAATAAAAATTAATAAAATGAGTTTTTAAATCAAAAATTTTTATTATTCTATATTAAGTAAAATCTCATTTAAGTTCACTTTTACAATATTTTTTAATTCATGATTTTGATAGTTATTCAATTATCAGTATGTATTAATAGTTAAGAATAATTCTATTTAGAAGAGTATTTTTAGCTAATTAAGTTAGTCTTAGTACTCAATTTTATAAGCAGTCGATATTAGACTCTAAAAGTAATGAATTTATCTATGGGCTTTATCGACTAAGATTAAGTATTATTTCTAGATTTATAATCAATTGTTATTAAATATTTAATTTAAATGAAAATTAGTTGATGTATAACTTGGTAATTAACTAAAATTTATGGTTTCTTTCTTATTTTGTGTTTTTGAAATATATTATTACACATTAATTATGTCCTGTTTTGTATTTCTATTAAAGAATTTAATTAACTAAATTAACTTTGATATAATCTTATTTGCAATCTTATGGAACAAATAAATAAACTGATAATCTTTATTATTTATAAAACCTATAAATAAAATAAAATTCTCTAAATATTTAGATGAATTTGAATTTCTTTAGAGTATTTATTTTAAAATTCAAATAATATTTTATTAAAAAAACAAAATGATTTAGAATGTTTTTAATAAATTTTCCCTATATAAATTTAATAATCAAAATCAAGAGGACATAATAAGTCCGACTACAATTGAGGTAAATCCAAGAATATAACCAGAATCTGTATTGGTATCATTACCACCAGTGCTTGTATTATTATCAGTAGTATTTGGTTATACAACAACTGTTCCACATTGAGTACATTTAGAGCTTGATGGATTCCATGAATAAAGATATGCTGTCAAAGTGTAACAATCTCCTTCTTTCAATGTATCAGCACTGGTAGCAGTACAGACACCATTGACTGTTGAACAAACGTTGTATTTCTTTTAATCCCAAGTATAGAAGAATTTGCAACTTTATACTTAAGCAGCATAAGAGGCACAATTATGATCACCACAAACTTTAGTCTTTGAATCCATTTAACATCTATCATTAGCTTATGAGCAAGCATTAGCATCAGTTCCTGCTGAAGCACAACTGGTCATTAATGAGCATTTTCCTGTTGTGGTTCCTCCAGTTGTAGTTTCAGTCCAAACACAAATACCATCAGATCCTCTGGAATTGCATGCAGTCTTTGTAGTATATGTTGAACAATTAGCTCTAACAATACATGTGGTTCCATTTGAAACACAATTTGCAACTCCTTAACAAGCTTATGTAGTTGTACCATTTGGAATATCAGCACAAACCTTTGTTCTGCAACTTCCTGAAGCATCTGCTGCAACCCAGAAGCAAGCTCCTTCAGTACCACCAGCAACATTACAAGCTGCTATAGTTGTGTAAGTATTACAAGCTCCTTTAACAAGGCACTTAACTCCATCTGATGTGCATGTCTTCAATCTTGAAGAGCATTCTTATTCTGAGGTGAAAGTTAGATCTGTACATTATTGATCTTTACATTATTTGGCAGTATCATCCCAAACACAGATACCTGTTGATGTTATACCTCCATTAGCATCTCTTTATGCTCCATCCTTATTTCTATAACATTAGTTTTAGGTATATGTTGAGCAAGCAGCCAATGGAATACATCCAGTTGAATAGTCTGATGTACAATTAGAATTTGCTGAATTGCATTCTTCGTGAGTTAAATAGTAAGCATCAGCACATGAAGTAAATTTCTTACAAATTGTATCTGTAGCTCCTTTGGCTGATACTGTTTAAATACATTCTCCGTCTGTTCCTGTCTTGCATCCTCCTTTAACATTTGTACCTTAACAACTTGTAATTCCAACACATTCTGTACCATCAGTTGTACAATTTGGTGAAATCCATTTGCAGCTTCCATCAGAAGTCCAATCTAAACTCTTGCATGATTCATAAGAGAAACAAGCTCCTAAAGTAGAATCAGCATTCACAAATTTAGCAACCCATAAACAAGGACCATCATTACCTTCAATACAAGCAGCTCTAACTTTGATATCTTAACAATTAGTCATTTTAGCACATCTTCCATTTAATCCAGCTGTACATCCTGCTCTTAGTTTATAGCAAGCAGCATGACTAGTACCAGCAAAATCTTTGCATTCTTTCAATCTACATCCATTAGTTTCAGTGTCCCACCAGCAATCCTTTCCATCACTGTCAGTTGTGCAAGCAGCAGCAACATTAGCAACTGTACATGCTCCTTTGACTGTACAACCTCCATCTTTCTTTGTTGTACATGTTCCAACTGAAGGTGTGAAATAAGCAACACATTAGGCTTCAGTTTACAAAGATACTGGAGCAGTTGCGCAAGTCTTGTTTGTACAATAAGCAGTTTATCCATTAGGTTCCATCCATTAACATTATCTATTATTTGAATCAGTAACACATCCAGCTTAATCTAATGCCTAACTGCAAGATCCTCTTCTCACACAATTAACTCCATTTGATGTACAATGAGATAGTGCTGCTTTACATAAAGCATCAGTTGTTAAAGGAAAATCTTCACATATTTTTGTCTTACATTTAATAGTATCTGTTGTGCAACCAGGTAAATATGTGTCACATTCTGTTTCTGATCCATAGTTTGGTGAGTTTTCACATTTCTTTGTTATGCATTTACCATCTGTTGTATCCCAATAGCATTTTCTTGATGATTTGTCTACTGATCCATCATAACATTGATTTTATGTCATTCCTTCACAAACATCTGGTATAGCAATACAACCATTATCTGTTGCATTAACAGTACAGCCAGAAAGATATTCGTTACATAAAGTTGGAGTGTTAACAGTTTCCTAAGCGGTTAAGCAAGTTTTATTGGCACAAGCATTACCATTCCATCCACATGTAATGGTTACACCTTTATCATCTTTTTCACTACTAATTTTACATTATTCTTCATGAGTATATGAACTGCATGGTTTAAAGGCTACGCATCCTTAAAGTGTTGGTGTTCCATTAACATCAGCAACATTCACTGTACATCCACCTAGATATCCTACACATCCAGCATGATCATTAAAAGATGCATTTGCGGCAGTGGCACAAGATTTATCAGCACAAGTTGCTGGATCTGTATTTGTATTCCAAACACAATCTTCTTCTTTTGTATTTTTTTTGCATTATTCTTCAATTGTATATGCACTACAAGCAGCTAATGCAATACATCCTTATCCAATTGTCTTGTCTGCATTTGCTTTAACTGTACATTTTCCTATATTAGAACATTTAACATGACTATCGAAACTACCTGATGCTTCAGCTGCACTACAACTTTTATCAACACATTTAGCTGCTGTTGGATTCCACAAACAATCACCTCCAGTAGCATTCTTAACACAAGCACCCTGAACTGTATATGAAGCACATGTAGCTCTAAATTAACATCCTCCTACTCTTAAAACACAATTTGGTGATAGGGCTTAACATCCAGCTAAAGTAGCTGCTGTAGGAGTTGAATCACAAGTCTTTTAAACACAAGCACCTCCAGAGACTACACATTCTCCTTCATTTATTGCATATCCACAATCTGCCACCGATGTGTATTCTGCACAAGTATTTTAAGCTGTCACGCAAGCTGTCTTAGCTGCATTAACTGAACAAGTATTTAAGAAGCCTATGCAAGCCTCGTATGTAAGCGTACCAGTGTAACTAGTACATGTTACAGGAGCAGCAGCAGCTACAGTTTTATCTTCGCACCCAGATCCATCAGCTTTAGCTTGGCATCCATATAAATCACAAATTGCATTTGTATATGTAATTGCAGTAGCTCCTGCTTTAAAGAGTTTTACTGTACTGCATCCACTTGAAAATGCTTCACATCCATCTCCAGCAGCATTAATAATGCATTTCACCGAAGCAGCTTCACTTCCTGAAAGGCAATCAGCCCAAGGAGTGCTTGCGTAACCAGTACAAGCAGCTTTTATCTCAACACAAGCAGTCAATTCTGAATTAGCAGAACATGTATTACCACCAGCACTTATTCCTTTACAATATGCGGGAGTCAATCCTATTCCTGTTATTGTATTACAGCTTCCTGCAGCAATTAATGCAGGACCATCAGCAAATGTGCAGGTTGTACCAACTAGAATACATTTTCCTTCATCTGAATGTGTACAATTGGCTGCAGATGTGGCTGCACAAGTAGCAACTGTATTTACGCATCCAGTACCATCTCTTTTGAGTGTACATTATGCATTAAATGCTTAGCAAGTGTCATAATTGAATGGACCTGTGAAAGCTGTACAGTTTGGAGAGCATTTGAGACCGCTATTCCAAGTACATGAACTTTTTTTGCTCTTGCAAATATTCGCACTGGTTCCAGCAATATCACTGCATTTAGTTGCATCTACTACTTTTTCACAAGAATCTCCGTCCCAATAACAATATAAATCGTCAGTTGCCCAAACACAATCTGCTTCTGTTGAATAACCTGTACAAGCTGCTACTTTAGTAAGACAAGCTGTACCATCTAATTTGACAGAGCAAGTATTACTCAAATATTAGCAATAACCTAAAGTAAAACCTGTACCAGTGGCCTTTGTACAATCAAATGCAGCTGCATCAGCACATGCTGATCCATCCCATGTACATTATTACTTTTTACCTATTGTATGTGCTTCACATGCACCCTAATTCTTCATAGCAGCGCAAGTACCTAATTTCAAAGCACATCTTCTTTATGTAAATGTACATTTTTTTGAAAATACTTAACATTTGGCATCATCATCATAGCTAGTTGAATCTTCTGCATCTGCACAAGCTTTATCTTTACAAGTACCACTAACCCAGACACATGCATTTCCATTTGTATCTACTTTGCATTGATCATCATCAGTATATTTATCACATGCAACAATATCTTAGCATTTAGTTAAAGTTGCATTTACTGTACATTTAGAAATAGCATTATTACAGTTAGTATGAGTATAAGTTCCATCAGCTAATGTGATATTTGCACAAGTTTCATCTCTGCAAGATGATGAATTTGCATCCCAATAACAATCTTTTGTTGTAGAATCTGTAACTTATATCAAACCTGCCTATTTACAAGCTGCTTCAGCTAATCCATTGCAAGCCTTAGGTCTGGGAATACATTTATCACCATCTGCATTAATAACACATTTCAAACTTTAATAACCCCAACAACCAGCTTGATTTACACTACCTCTCAAAGAAACAAGATGAGCATTTTCACATTTAATATCTATACAAACTGGATTTGCTGCATCAGTCAAATTATCCCATTAGCATTTTATTGGTGTTATAGATCTAACTTATTCAATTTAACAATTATCTTATTTCTTTCTTGCAGAACAAGTAGCAGGAAGATCAATACAACCAGCTTCATCATTATCAACAACACATCCTGATTTATAACCATGACATCCAGCACTTGTTGTATAATCAGCAGATGGAGCAGTAAGGCAAGATTAATCTACACAATTCTTCCCAATCAATCCACATTTTCCACCTCCTTTTTTAATTTAACAACCTTCTGTTGTTGTAATAGCTTCACATTTAATAGGTAAATCCATACATCCTGATCCTGAGTTATCTAAAGTGCATGTAGGTAAATAATCTCTGCATTATGCATAAGTGTTAAATTCCTTTGATGCTAAGGCACATTACTTCTAATAGCATTTGCCTTTATAGATACATGGTTTATTATTATAATCAGTATTACAATTTGTTTCCTCTTAAACATTCTCACATGTCTTATCAACACAAGTATTACCACTTCCAACAGTACAAGTATTTAAAAAGGCATTACATAAAGTATGATTATCGTTTGTAGATGGTGCATTTGTGCAAATCTTAGTCCAACATTTTCCACTATCCCAGAAGCAAACTTTGCCATTCTTATCTGCCTTGCAAGCAGTGTCCAAATTAATAGCTTCACATGTAGTATTTTCTCTACATCCGCCTCCCTCTTAAGTGATACAATTTTATTTAGGATGATAAGCTTCACATTATTCATTTGTAGTATTTGTTTTTGGAGCATTAGTGCATGATCTATCTTAACATCCTGAAGCAGCACCAGTTTTAGCTGTACATGTGGCCATATATGTAGTACATTAGTCATGTCCAACATATGAATTACCAGCATTATCACAAGTCTTATTCTTACAAAATGATCCATCCCAATGGCAAATACCTCCAGTTAATGTTTTATCACAAGCTTCTTTACTTTTTGCAGCATCACAACCAGTATTATCTGTGCATCCACTTCCTGTTGTAATACATTTTTTCAAATATGATTAACAACTTGCATTAGTTTTATTTGTAGCCAAAGCATTTGCACATGTTTTATCAACACATGCTTAGCCATTCCAAAAGCAGTCTTCTCCCAAATTATTAGTAACACAAGCAGCTTAAATAGCAGATCCACAATTTGATCTTGTAACACAACCCCCACCTTATTTAGTAGTACATGTTGATATAAAATCTTTGCATGCTTAATCTGTAACAAGTTCAGTTGGAGCATTATCACATGTCTTATCATAACATTTTCCTTATTTCCAAAAGCATGCTACTTCTGATCTATCTTTAACACATCCTATTTCAGCAACTTAGTCTTCACATTTAGCTCCCAATTCTACACATCCTCCACCTTCTTTAGCTGTACATTTAGTAAGCTAAGCTCTGCAAACTGCATCAGAAGTTAATGAGAGTGGTAATTTAGGACAATCATCAGCATCTTCACATTTTGGATTTGCTGCATCTGATGTATTCCAGTAACAATATCTTCCTAAATTATTCAAAACACATGATTTAGAAGTTAAATAGGTTGAACAAGCAGCTTTCTCTACACAACGAACTCCATCTGTAATACATCTGTTTGAGACTGCTTAACATTTAGCATCATCATCATAAACAAAAGGTGTGCATGCAGTAAAATGAGTACATGCTTACCCATCCCATGCACATGGATTCTTCTTTGGGCATTCTTCTGCTGTATTGAATTGATCACAATAAGCAGCAAAAATTGTTGTATCTGTTGGTGTTGTTGGTTTCTCTGTGATTGCACATGCTTTTTTGGTCTTATCCCAAGTGCACCCAGATTTTTTTCCACAATCTGATTCAGTAAGCATTTGTGTGCAAGCACATGTTGTTGCAATCGTAACTGTTTAGCAATTTGTTAGTATGACTAACAATGCAATGAATAGAATAGTCTTATTCATTTTTATTTAAAGTATTAATATTTGAATTGAACAAAGGTGGGTATATAAATCTAATTTATGTTAATTTTTTAATTTTTTTTATCTAACATCATATTTTTAATTAAGGTTGCAATCAAAATTTGATTGTAATGTTAATCTTGATTAAATAAAAGAAAATGTAATGAAACAAAATGTGAGAGAACAGAACTAAATTAGAATTAAAGAAGAATAGTTTGGATGCTCGAAAATATTATAATATTATAATATTGATGGTGTAGTTTTCCAATTCAAGGAGATATATTAATGATTCTTAAAATACATTTAACCATTTTTTTTATGGTCTATATATACTATTATACTATTTTCAAGACAATCTAACATGTTTTGAATGGGTATTTTTGATGAATATACTCCATTATTTATTTTATTATATAAACAAAAATTGTATTAGTTTATGATTACTTCATCAATGCAACCTTCTTTTTTTAATAATCTTCTAGGATTACTATGAATTCTTCCTTCATCTAAGAGAATAATGATATTTTATTCAATATTTTTTCGAAATTCTAATTTTTCGTAGGGTTGTTTCATTAATGATTATCATAGTGAAGAAAATATCATAATACCCTATTTTGAAGAGACTCTATATTTAATTATATTATTCCTCTTAGTAGCAATATGTTTTGCATTTTGGTAATACAAAAAATGAAAAAAGACATGAAATAAATAAGGAATTAAGAAATTACAATATGTATAATATATACTATATATTGTTAAGCCTGGTTATTGTTGATCTTAGTTATATTACAATAAAGTAGGAAGCTTATATTTTAATTTATATACAAATTATTCTGGATTTTCAAGCAAAAAAAATATATACCCTTATAATATATTATTGCAGTTAAATTTTCTTAAAATTGTTCAATTATGGAAAGAATAGTTCATGAGTATTCAAATTTTGAATCCTCTATAGATTTATATATACAAAACTTGATTATATTTCAATTCACTTAGACAACTAGGCTAGACTTTGATTAATAGAATAGTTTTAGAATGTACCTAAAAATTATAGACTTGATGAAAGTTATATAGATTTAGAACAAAATAGAGGTTTAAAGTATAATTATATTGTTGATAAAGGAGAAATTTCATCCATTTTAGTTATATAAACCTTAATTAAATTTGGTTAATATATATTAATAAATTAATAAACTGAATTTTTTATAATATATTATATATTAATGAAAGAATAATTATTGCTTTATAAAATATAAAATTTATATCTAATTCAATTATTATTTATTTAAATATGGATTAAGAAGTTCATGTAAAGTATTTTAAACTTCCTTAAAAAGATAGTAATGAAAAGGGAATGTTGATTTCTATTTTAGATTGTTCAGGATCTATGTCAAGCTGTATCTTTATATTATAAAATTATAGATTGGTAATATGTTGCGAAATATTACAATGAGTTAAAAGAAAAATCATCTTTATCAATAGCAATTACTTTTGATACATAAGTAAAAGTATTGTAGCCTAATGAAATAATTAATCCAAACATAAACTAATATGGTGGTGGAGGTACAAACATAACATGTGCATTTGTTGCCTTAAATTAAGAAATTCAAAAAAGATCAATAACAAGTGATTTAACAGTAGTTTTTGTATCTGATGGATAAGGTAGTTATGATGAGAAAGCCATAAAATAAACAATGCCTAATGTATAAAATCTAAATTTTATCTGTGTTGGAGTGGGAAATGGATTTCCAACTCATATTTCAATGAGTCTTAGATCACTCTATCATACAGGAAATTTATCAATACCTCCTGTGTTTATAGTATCTGTTCAAGATTAATCAAATGGTAAATAAAGAGATTAATTTTTGGATTCTATATTTTAAGAGGAATTTTAATCTGTGGGTGTTATTTTAAAACCTAGAATATAATGTGAAACAACTCCTTGTTTATGTTTTCCTTGGAGTTAAGAGACAACAACAAAGGTATGGTCTGGTAGTTGGGTAGGTAGCTATGATAATGAGATAACATTTGATGGAATATAAGTTTAATCATCAAATCCATCTGAAGGTATGATATTAGAATTGGCATCTTTTTGGTTATAAAATATCCAATTACTTTCATTGAAATAAAATGTAAAATAAGAAGCTTAAATGGCACTTGCAGAATTAGAAAGATTATCAAATTTAATTCCAAAACTTTAAGGTTAAAAGAAATAAAAGACATTTGCTTAAAGAGTTTAAGAATCTTAATAAAAGGAGACAGAACTTTCAGATTTTGTTGCTGAATTGAAATTATTCACATAAGATTTTACATTAAGTAAATTAAGTGATAAGGATGCAGCTGACAGATTAAAAATAGGAACTAAAATAGGTAAATTTCATAATAAAGCACTTAAATTTGCAGGATTATCATTAGAAGATTTTACAAAAGCTAAATAATAATTTATATAATTACTTAAAGAATATAAATTTGATGGTAATGATGGAGATAGATCAATAATGACATTATAAAGTTAGAAGGAAATATTATAAGAGGAAGATTTAATTTTTGGATTAGAGAATTGTACATCTCAATATTAATTGGTTACAGCATTTCCAATTATTGGTTATGGATTATAAGTTAAAAGATCAAATGCTAGTATGATTGATCCATATAAAATTGAAATTGTATCTCTTGTTAGAATTCATAAATTTATAGATTCAGTATCATTAATAGAAAATGCATAACATGAATTAAAGTTTTAAGTAGGAAATGGAGAAGAAGAAATAGTAAATTGTATACTTCCTTTGTACACATCAAAAAATGAAGATCTTAAACCATTCTTTAGATCTTTATTATTTCATACAATAATGACATTTGTAGTATGTGAGAATGCAGATGTGTGTTTTGATTATTCTTATGCAGCCTTATTAGCCAATACTTTATATTATTTGATTAGATAACCAAAAACTGAATGGACTAAGGAGATGATAAGTTTAATAAATGAATCATATACATTGGCTTATGGTATGAAATATAAGAATTTTACAGAAAAATTAATTAATAATCCAATTTAAACATTGGTTGATGTTAATAAGGATTTTGATACTTAATGTTAAGATACAATTAAAGCATTACTTATTTTATCTGCTGAAAAGAATAACTATTAATTAGAATAAATAAGAAATGTAGTAAATAGATTTTTGATAGAAACTATAGGGAGATTAATGAAAGATATGGCTCTTAAGGATCATATTAATTACTTTTTTAATTAAGAGAATGAAGGTAAAATAATTACAGAATTGAGTTAAAGAATAATTAATGGATTTGATAATGAAAAACTTAAAGAATATAAGACTATGTCTGCTATTACTTCTTAAATATTCAAGGAAGTTGAAGAGATTAAAATTGAAGATTGGTAATTGTAAGTAACATTCAAAAAAGATCAAGTCATTAAATTTTTATCACATACTAAATATAAATATGAAGATTTATAACTTATTTATGAGTATTTTTTAATTGAAGAAATCCCATAGAATTTATTTATTGCTTCAGTATTTCATGCAAGACACTAAAGATCAATAGAAAGAGCAAATAAGGAATTTATTGCAGATTTTGATTTACTCAATAAAGAAATATTATAAGTTAAACACACATTCTTGAAATCAGAATTATTGGAAAAATGTAAAGTAGAAATTAGAACACATGTTTAAAAGATGGGAATTAATAATTTATTTGTTTAAAGAATGCCTGGATTTGGAATTAGTAGAAGAAGAAGAAGAAGACCAAATGTCAATAAGTTAGCCTAGAAGAATCCTTGAATATGCAATTACATTATTAATATAAATTATCAAATTATATATAGAATTAAACTCAATGTTGCTTTGCCCACCTAATTTATGTATAAGAAAATTTCAAAATAGGGCATTTTGAGAACCAGAAATCAATTAGTATCAAATATATCATATGCTAAAGCGCTATAATTGTTTTAATGACTTTACAATTCATATATTTGATACTCACATTCAATAATATTAATGAAATGAATGAAGAATAAAGTCTATTAGATAATTTAGATTGCATGGAGAAATATGGAATAGATCTAAATAATTTAAGAATATATAATGTACTTGTATTTGAATGTTATATACCAGTTCTTGCTTATTTCATATTGACTTTATTTTGTTGTCAATTATGTCATGTTGATAAAAAGTAATTAAATCTAATCATAATTAGACTCACAGGATATAGAAATAGATTGATTAAGCAATCCTTTAAATTAAGACTTATTATAAGAATAAGTTTTGAATTAATAATTGCTATTATTTTGATTTTATAGTTTATAGAGGTAATCAATGTTAATTAATCAATTATCGATGTTTGTTATTCTAATTAATTAGTATATCAATTTGATATGAAATTATTTTATCCTAGCATTATTAATTTAATGGTATTTTTACTTTTAGTTGCATTTGATAACACATGCTATTTTATAATTGTTTGTTATACAAATGATTTTTATTGGGGATGCTATCATGATGAAGAACTCCCTATAATAAGTGTTGTTGAGACATAATCTTTTAGTTTTGCTAAGAATAGTGTAGAAAGTTCAACTGATTAATAAAGTATTTGATTAAAAAGATTAATTTAGAAAGTCAAGATGAGCATCCCTCTCCTTATTTCGGTATTTGATATGAGAATGAAATATAATTAAATAAATTTACAATAAAATTAATAATAAATTAAGCAATGGGGAACGATATGCAAAGAGTATAATAATTAGGAGATAGTATAAGATAATTGAGAGAAGATATGGATGCATTATCTAAAATTGCACCTTAAGTTGAAAAGATGGTAGCATTAGCAGGTACTTTAGAGTCTACAACTAAAAATGTAATTTAATATTTTAATTATTAGATTAATGAGAATATATCTAAAGTAAGTAAGACAGTTTAAGATGTTGAAGATAAATCAAAAAAGGTTAAGGAATTAATGGATAAAATACCTGGTGGTAATAAATTAAATTAATTTTTTTGAGAATTTAATATATATTTTCTTAAATAATTAAATAAAATTTCAATATAAATTTATATATTCAAAAAACTTTAATTTCTATTTAATCTTTAATAATAATATTATTAATGACAGATTATAAAAAAATTTGTGATCTGATTGGATGGAACTTAAATCATTTCTTCGAATTTAAAAAGATTCTCACTAATATTTATTATATTTAAAAATGAAATCAATTGGAACATTATTTGTTATCTTAACAATAGCATCATGTATCTATACACCTGCTGAACGTCAATTCAATTAAGAAGCTTTGACTGGAGCCTATAAATATAATAATTTACCAGAACCTTAACATATTTCTAATTGTGGAGATAATGCTACTTAAATTGATCTTTTTAATTTTGTTGGTTATATGCTACAAAAAGCTGATAAAGCAAGTCTTTCTTAATTATTAGGATTAAAGAAAGAAGTTGATGATTATTTTAATGTAATTTAATCTAACTATGATTTTAGGGACTTCCTGAAGAATATACTAATTGTTTATATGCCGAGCCAGAATTTTTGGAGATTTGTACTATATATGGATTGAAAGAGACTGATAAAATGGAATAAATCACTGATAAAATTTATCAATATGCAATTGGACATTTTATTACTACTAAGAAAGAAATTCATTAGGGAAATCTATTATGGAATACAGATCACAAATATAATGATGCAGGATATCTAATTGCTAGTTTTACTAAGAAAGCCTTAGTAACAGGAGTAGAATATGTTGAATGATTATTTGAATATTAAACCATATAACAATTTATGTGTATAAATTTCATAATGTTTCAATTCTAGCTTCTGATACTTTTGCTTCTTTACTATCCCAACCACTGAATAAATATGCAGCAAATCTATAATTTCTATTAGGAGGTAATTTGAAGGTTATTGCTTTATTATTCTCTCCAGCTTTTCTAATTGAGAATACATTTCCATTTCTAAGACATTCAATAATTTCCCCCTTTTATACTTCAATACCTAAAGATTTCTTATCAAGATCTTCATCATTAGAGGCAGCAACCACTAAATTATTAAATAAGTAATTTACATTTATCAGAATAAACAATCCACATTCCATGATCTAATCCATAATTACAATTTCCAGAAAAATCTGTTTCTTTTATAATATCGAAATCAACTATACCAATTCCTATACTCTAGAATATCTAATAAATTTTTACTGTTTATAATGTGTCACAACATATCTTCACTTTTAATAAGTCTTATTCCTTTGCTTATTCATCCAAAAGAACTAAGCCTCCTTCTTCTTGTTCTTCTACAACAGCTAGATTGCCATGTACTTCAATGTATTCACTTTTGTAAGTAGAGCTAAAGTTTCTTGCTTGTGCTTAACTTCCAATTTATTAAAATTATGGATCACCTATAACTGTGTTGGAAGTCTCACAATTACCCATTATTATATTTAATAAATGAATGAAAATAGTAATCCATTTTTATACACTAAATTGTTATTAAAGAATTATTCTTTAAATTCTAAAAACAATTTAATTGGTTTCAGTAATTAAAAATAAAGAAACAAAAAATTGTATTAACATTTCCATAATCCAAGTTATTTAATGATTTTCATTTTTTAAAAACAATATAATATCTATATAAAATAGATAATAAAAATGGATATATATGTATTCATTAATAATAAATTATGATGTAATTATATATGTCAATATAATATTAAATAATATTTGTATGTAGAAATTTATATTGTTAACATTCATTACTTTGGGTTTATGTAGATTGAGCTTTAAAGAAGGTCTTTATAATTATAATGATATATTTAAAAGCGAAGGAACATTTCCTTAAGGTACAAAATGCAAAAAGGTTGATGCAAAAAATTTAGATCCTTTGTTTGATGATACTCAAGTGATTTATTCAGGATATTTGAGTGTTTATGAAAATAGTAATTCAGCATTAGGATTTATATTTTATGGAAGTTAGAAAGCAAAAGATGAGAGTGAACTCTAGAATTATCCAACATTAATTTGGTTGAATGGTGGACCTGGATCATCTTCATAATTAGGTAATTTTATGGAATTGGGACCATTGTTAATGTAGAGTAATGGTAAATTGAAAAAGAATTTATATGCTTGGAATACAGAATATAATGTAATTTTCGTTGATCAACCTATTGGTACAGGTTTAGCTTATGTTGAAAAGCAATCTGAAGTACCAACAAATTAAAAATAAATTGGATAACAATTTTTATATGCTTTGAATTAATTCTTATTTGGAGCAAAGGGTTGTGTAGAATAATAATAAGTGAGAGGATTGACTTAATCACCTTGGTTTGTATTTGGTGAAAGTTATGCTGGAAAGTAAAATATGGATTTGATTTAGGTATGTTCCAACTATAGCAAAAGCAATTTTGGATTATAATCTTAATGCTTAGAAGAAGATTCCATTGAAAGGAGTAGGAATAGGAGATCCATTTACAGATCCATATGCTGTAATTGCAGAATATGCAGCATATTCATTTAATTTGGGTTTGATTGATATTTAAGAGAGAATGTAAGTAGACTCTATATTGGCTTATGGAATGACAGAATTAAATAAAGGTAATACTTTGGCAGCAAGGGATGCTTTTGAAGAATCTTTAGATATTATTATTACTTAGAGTGGTGGTATGAATGTGTATAATGTACTTTAATATGGTAATTATGGAGAAATTGAGGAGAAGGTGGAGGATTATTTGAATAATATATAGATAGTGAATAAATTTGGATTTAGTGATGATTGGAAATATAAAATTAGTAATGCTGATGATGGTCCAGTATAAAAGGCTTTGAAATATGACTTTATGTTAAGAGATGTCGTAGTGACAGTAGAGGAAGTGGTTAGGCAAATTCCATTTTTGATTTATAATGGATAGAATGATCTCATTTGTTCAACTCCAGGAACTTTGAGATGGGTTTATGATTTGAAATATGAGAAGATTGAGGAATATCGTTAGAAGGATTTTGAGGTATTGAAGATTACAGGAACAGAAAGAATTGTAGGATATCAGAAATCAGCTGGAAATTTGGAATTAGTATTAATTAATAATGCTGGACATCTTGTGCCTACTGATTAACCTGAAGCATCATTATAAATGGTCACAACATTTGTTAATAAACATAAATGAAAATGAGATTGATATAATAACCATATTGAAGGATATATTTATTATTATTAATAAAAAAAATAGAAATGTTTGGATAGGTGGTACATAAATTCCAAAGAAACTAAAATCATCTGTTAAGCAAATTCCTTAGGGCTGGAAATAGGTAATTATATAAATGGAATGTAGATCCAATCCATTTGAGAATACATTGACCATACTTGAAGACCCTGCTAAACATAGAAAACTATATCTTATTGGATCAACACATGCTTCTACTATGTTGGCCTACAGAACATAAAAATTGATTAATGAAGTAAAACCAGATAGTGTTTATGTGTAAACAAATGAAGAATGGTGGAATATTGTTAAAAATATTGAAGGAGTCACATCTCAATCAGAATTAAATGTCTATAATGATGTATTAAGAGGGGCTTATAAATGGGAATTGGAATCTGGAGTTAGAAATTTCAGAAATACAGTCTTTTGGGCAAGACTTTACTCATGGTTAGGTTTAATGTAATTTTTGAAAGGTAAATAATATCTATTAATAATTAATTTTAGCATTCAATAGTGATTTCCATCCATTCATTCCAGGTTTAGAAGTCAAATATGCTATTGAATAAGCTCGTGCATAAGGTGCTAATGTTATCTTTGGTGGTTTGGAAATCACTAATGATGATCTATTGTCATTAAAAGTATTTACATATATATATATATATTATAGACTGAACCAAGATTTGATCCATTAAGTGTTTCTTTGAATTTCCTTAAACTTCTTAGTCAAATCAGATGGAGAAGAGAAAGATAAGATTTAGCCTTTTAATTGGCAGTTCTTGGAGGAGAATAATTTGCTGAATCAATTGATAAATATAGAGCTTCTTGGTTTGTTAAACTTTTTGAGAAATTGAGTCCTCATTAAAAGAAAATATTGATTGATAGAAAGGATATTGAGATTTTTGAAACTCTTTATAGACATACTCCAGGAAAAACAATTGTAGCAGTTGTTAATTAATGGCATACTATGGGTATTGAATCTCATTGGAGACATACTACTAAGACTTAAATTAATACTGAACCTATTAATCCAATTGGAGATATGGATTTGGAAGCTCTTAATGAAGATTTAGTAGTGAATGACTTTTTAAGATAATTCACTTCAAGACTTACTAAAAGTGAACCAGCATCTACAAGAGCATATATCACATAATATTATAAGGATGTATTCGAATATGAAAGATGTAATATTTATAAATTTATTAATTAATTATAGTCAGACATGTTGAATTTGATGGTCATAGTGATCCTCATTAATTCCATGGAGGTAGTCCATTTGAAGGAGGTTATTAACATCATCATCCATAATTACCTGCAGATGTAAGAAAGTAAATTGAAGAAAATTGGAAGAAATAATATGCCCATCATCATGAACATCATTGAAATATTATTATTCATAAATAAAATAAAAACAATATTTTGGTTATGATGATTGAGTTGTCTGTTAGTTATAATTCAAATTTCAATTTTCTATTTAGTAATTGAAAAACGGAATAAATTGTTCGTTTTTATGTAATATTTAATTAAATGAAAACCATTTTTGTTCTGGTATTAGTGATTGTTCTAGCAAGCAGTTTGAAATCAACTTTCAGATAAACACCATAAAAATTGTAAACAGAACTATAAAAATCAAATTATGGAAAAGCCCTCTTACATTTACTTGAATTACATTCAATGGCTGGAGGAGCTGTAAGTGAATTAGTTGATGCCATCGAAGAATTAGATAATGATTTGATTGATGGACTTTAATTATTAGAATTCAATTTCCAATAAAGAACAAATCAACATAATGCTTTAGTTGTTTAATTGAATTAATAAATCAATGATGCCTAAATTGATATTAGTAGATCAGAAGATGTAATTGAAAATTTATTGATTCCAAGAAGAGAATAATTAGAAAACAGAATTGCAAATCTTGAAGAATATTAAGAAATTAATAGAAAAAATTATGATGAAGAAGTCTTAATAAGAGAATAAGAACATGAAGCATTTGAAGCTTAAATTGCTGAATTAACTGATGCAACAGTTGCAGTTGATGATGCTCTTGCACTTTTATAAACTTTGAGTAATCCTTCATTAGCTTAAGTTAAGAAATTCTAAAATTCACTTAAGAAAATTGAATAAAGTATTAAACCAAGATCAAAAATGGCACCATTTTTAAAGGCTCTTCTTACATTAGCATCAAATTAAAACTTTTCTGATTAAGGTATTATTGCTTAAATTGTTAATGCTTTGAATGAATTTAGAAATGCTATTGTTGATAGTATTAATGATTAAACACTTGTTGAAGCTAATGCAGTTGAAGAATATGAAGAAAGATTAGATTAATTAGATCATGAATTTGCTGAATTCCAAAGATAAATCAATGCTGTCAATGTAGATTTGACTGCCACTAATAGTAATTTAATATCTATATTATTTCAATAGACAAGATTGATTAAGTCACTGAGTTCCTTAACCAAAGAGTCGCTGATTTGAAACAATATGAAGCAGAATTATAATTAGAAAATGACAATTATGCTGATGAAACTCAAATTTATAATGATACCAAAAATGAATTCACTAGAGAATAATAAATCACTGAATAAGCTTTGGCTTTGGTCTAATCAGTCGATTTTAGTCATATTCAAGTTTGAGTATTAATAAATATCGACCTATACAAAAATTAATCATTTAATTTTAATTTATTTGTGAAGAAAAGAATTTAAAAAATGGAATAATTCAATCTATAAGATATCTTATCATGTACAAATCTAAGGAAACAATATACCTAACTAAATAATGTGATTAATCAATATGATTCTACTTATATACTCAAATTAAAAAAAGTAATATATTTCATTCTATCCTCTCAAAGACATTATTATATGACTTATTCAATTCTTGTTTTGATGAAAGTTTATTGATTGGAGGTCAAGTCTTATAGAAGTTGCTTACAAAATTATATAATGAATAGGGATAAGAAGACAAAAAGAATATAGACTTATTCAATCAAAGATTGTAATAATTTGTATAGATTTTTGTTGATGATTACATCCAAAGTGTCAAATAGAATTAACATAATTACAATCTCAATTATGCATAATAAATTAATAGAATATTAGCAGATGTCAAAATAGAATCAATTCAATACATAATTGAACACATTATAAAATAAGATTAAGACTTTTATTAACACAAACATAAAGTATGGGCTGTTGCTTCATTACTTAAATTTGCTAAATCTGAATAATATATTACAGT